TTCTTTTTTTTTTTTTTTAAGATGGGGTTTCACTATGTTAGTCAGGCTGGTCTTGAACTCCCGACCCCAGGTGATCCGCCCGCCTTGGCCTCCAAAGTGCTTGGATTACAGGCATGAGCCACGATGCCCGGCTGGATTTACTTTTTTTAATGGCTAAACAGTATTCGATTGTGTTCATTTTAAATATGTATTTTATACACACACACACACACACACACATTTTCTTTATTCATCTGTTAACAGATACTATAATAATTACTTTAACTGTGGGTAGTTTCACAGAAGTATATATATTTCAGAAGTACCGTATCTTACCCTTTAAATACATGCAGTGGATGGGTGTGGTAGCTCACGCCTGTAATCCCAGCACTTTGGGAGGCCAAGGCAGGTGGATCATCTGAGGTCAGGAGTTCAAGACCAGCCCGGCCAACATGGAGAAACCCCATCTCTACCAAAAAATACAAATATTAGCCAGGCATGGTGGTGCAGGCCTGCAGTCCCAGCTACTCAGGAGGCTGAGGTGGGAGGATCACTTGAATCTGGGAGGCAGAGGTTGTAGTGAGTCAAGATTGCACCATTGCACTCCAGCCTGGGCAACAGAGTGAGACTCCTTCTTAAAGGAAAAAAAAAAGTGCAGTTTACTGCACATCAATTATATCACAAAAAAAGTTGCTAAAAGGGATGTGACCTTTCTTACCAACCCCCTTCCTTCTTGTTGCATAGAACAAGGATGTGACAGCTGAAGCTCAAGGAACCACCACGAATCATAAGATAACCGGAAGATAAACTGCGCTGAGGAAGGTGGAACAGAAAGAGAAGATTCTGACTTCCTAATGTCACTGTAAAGTTGCTATGAGAGTTGTGGCCTGCCTAGACTTACTTTATGTGTGAGAAAAATAAACTGAAGTTTTTAACCCATTTCTCTGTTGCTGTTGCTCTTTCTTTATAGTGTTTTTGTTTTTATGGTGGCCACGTATTACTTCAAAAATTAGATTTAAAAAACAAAAAAATGCTAGAAAACACAACAATTAGCAAAGTACTGAATTGTCTATAAATGTGGCAAGAGAGTTAAATTCGTAATGGATGATACAAAAGAAAGGGGATGGGGACTGATACAGGGCAAGATAAAATGATAGTTCTAGGCTCAGAGTGATGGCTCACGCTTACAATCCTAGCACTTTGGAAGGCTAAGGTAGGAAGATCCCTTAAGCCAGTAGTTCGAGACCAGCCTGGGCAACAAAGTGATAAAAAACAAAAAAAATTAGCCAAGCATGGTGGCACGGGTCTGTAGTCCTAGGTACTCAGGAGGCTGAGCTGGGAGGATCACCTGAGGCCAGGAGTTTGAGACCAGCCTGGGCAACATAGCAGGACCTTGTCTCTACAAATACATAAAAATTTAAATAGCCAGGCATGGTGGCACGTGCCCACAGTCCCAGCTACTCAGGAGGCCGAGGCTGGAGGATCACTTGAGCCTAGGAGGCAGAGACTGCAGTAACCCAAGATCGCACCAATGCACTCCAGCCTGGGCATCAGTGACATGGTCTCAAACAACAACAACAAAAAGTCAAACATGATAGAGTTACTACATAACCCGGCAATTTCACTCCTTGAATAAAAAACTCCAGAGAATTAAAAACATTGTCCATAACCTTGTACACGAATGTTCATAGCAGCATTATTCATAACAGCCAAAAAGTGGAAACAAACCAAGTATCTATCAAGTGATAAATAAACAAAATTTGGTATATTCATATAACAGACTATTATTCAGTTAAAAAAGGAATTAAGTATTGAAACATGCTACATAAGAATGAACCTTAAAAGTGTTACGTTAAGTGATAAGAGTCCAGAAGAGCACATATGATTCTATTTGTACGAAATATCCAGAATAGGCAAATCTACAGAGACAGAGAATTGGCTGGATATGGTGGCTCATACTTGCAATCCTCGCACTTTGGGAAGCCAGGACTGACGGATTACTTGATGCCAGGAGTTCAAGACCAGTCTGGACAAAACCCTACTAAAAATACAAAATCTCTACTAAAAATACAAAAATTAACCAGGCCACCCGTGGTGGTGCATAGCTGTAATCCCAGCTACTTGGGAGGCTGAGGCACGAGAATCACTTGAACCTAGGAGGCAGAGGTTGCAGTGAGCCAAGATCGCGCCACTACACTCCAGCCTGGATGACAGTTAGCCTGCTTCTAATTAATTAATTAATAGAAAGTAGATGAGAGTTTGCTTGGGGGTGGTAAGGAGGGGACAACATGAACTGACACTTAAGGAGTATGGGGTTTCTCTTAAAAATAAGGAAAATGTTCTAAAATTAGATTGTGGTGATGGTTGTACAACTGTGAATATACTAAAAACCATTATATTGTACATTTTAAGTAGGTTAATTATATAGTATGTGAGTTATATCTCAATAAAGCTGTTTAAAAAAAGAAATACAGGCTGGGCGTGGTGGCTCGTGCTTGTAATCCAAGCACTTTGGGGGCCAAGGCAGGTAGATCACCTGAGGTTGGGAGTTCAAGACCCACCCAACCAACATGGTCTAAAAAAAAAAAAAAAAGGTAAAAAAAAAAATAATAATAAAAGTAAAAAATAAATAAAAAGGAAATACAGCTGGCCTGGTGGCTCACACATGTAATCCCAGTAGGTTGGGAGGTCGAGATGGGCAGATTGCTTGAACCCAAGAGTTTGAGACCAGCCTAGGAAACATGATGAAACCCCATCTCTACAAAAAAATTAGCTGGGCATGATGGTGTGTGCCTATAGTCTCAGCTACTCAAGAGGCTGAGGTGGGAAGATCACCTGAGCCCCAGACATGGAGGCTGCAGTGAGCCAAGATCACTCCACTGCACTCCAGCCTAGGCCACAGAGTGCAACCCTGTCTCAAAAAAAAAAAAAAAAAGAACAGCTGGGCTCGGTGGCTCACACCTGTAATCCCAGCACTTTGGCAGGCGGAGGAGGGCAGATCATGAGGTCAGGAGATCGAGACCAGCCTGACCTACATGGTGAAACCCCATCTCAATTAAAAAAAAAAAAAAATTAGCCAGGCATGGCCAGGCAAGGTGGCTCATACCTGTAATCCCAGCACTCTGGGATGCTGAGGTGGACTGATCACTTGTGGTCAGGAGTTTGAGACCAGCCTGGCCAACATGGCAAACCCCATCTCTACTAAGAAATAAAAAATTATTCTGGCATGGTGGCACGCACCTGTAATCCCAGCTACTCAGGAGGCTGAGGCTGGAGAATTGCTTGAACACAGGACTGGGAGGCGGAGGTTGCAGTGGGCAGAGATCGCGCCACTGGACACCAGCGTGGGCGACAGAGTGAGACTCCGTCTCACAAAAAAAGGAAAAAGAAAAAGAAAAAAGAAAAGAAAGTCTACTTATAGCTTAATACGATTAACTACAGAAGTCTACCAACATGAAAGCATATCCAACAATTTCTAAGACCCAGGAGAGCTGACATCCTAGATACCTTACCAGTTTTGATCTCCACTTCTCATGACAGAAGATGCTAAACACAGCTTCTCTCGGATGGACCACGGCTCTGTGGGGCCAGTACTCAGCAGCTTGTGTTCTGGGAGAGAGGGAGGGAGAGAGGGAAAGAGGGAGAGAGGGAGGGAGAGAGAGGGAGGGGGAGAGAGAGAGAGAGAGAGAGAGAGAGAGAGAGAGAGAGACAGACACACAGACAGACACACAGACACATTCCAACTTGTTAGGACAAAATGAGCTACTAACACCAAATCTCGATTTTCACCTCTCCAAGTGAAATACCACCAGTGAAGGTGGTATCTAGTTGCAGGCGAATTACAGTATAACATTTTATTTCTTAAAACGCCATGGCTTTAAGCTCCGCTTTATTAAAAAAATAGGGAATGTCAGATTAGGCAGTTCTCACTAAAAGCCCAGGTTTATTCCAGCTTAAACGCGAGGGCTTATTTCCCAGGAAACCGAGCGGCCAGAACCTCCTACTACCCCGCCTCCCTCTTAGCATAAACTTGTTTACTTCTCTCAGCTCCTCTACTCCAAACGTCAGGCCTAGAAGACTTTCAGTCCACGAAAAGAAAAATGTCTGAAATGCCCGAGACGCAATCTTCTCAGTAGCAGGAAAAGCTCATTGTTAAAAGACCCGACTTCTACTGCCTCACAAACGTAGGTCAGAAAATGAATGGCTCTTTGAGACGCCGGTTACTCCGACTGGCTCACATCTTTCAGTCTGCACGCCCAAGTTTCTAGAGTGCTTTTACGGTTACCCCGCAGAGTTCCTAACACACTCGGATTCAGTAAGCTGCTTCTCTCAAACCTCCGCTCCCTCCCTGAGAAACAAGTCCCCAGATTTCTGGGGCCCCAAACGTTGGTCTTCACGATACTGTGGAGCGCAGGTCTCTGAAAATCCTGGGCTCTCAAGCAAACCACTTCTCCTACTCCTTAGTGGTGTAACAAAAATACGATGCCTAGCCTCGAATCTACAAAGGCCTTTCACGCAAAACCTGCTCAGATACTCACTCCCCGTTCCCGTCGCCATCTTGGCCCTGAAGTCTCCAACCCTGAGGAGAGGCGGTCTGGTAGGGCCGAAACCCGGGAATTCTGGGAAATAGAGTATTGGCGTTGGTTCGCGGTGTCTCCTGGGAAATGTCGTTTTTTCCTCCCTAAGACGAAGCTAGCACCCTAAACCAGTTATCTTGTGCACTTCTGTTAACAGTGTTGCTAAGGCAGGACAAGGGTTGGAGGCTGAAACCTCAAGATTTTCTTTATGCTGCTTGGATAAGAAATGTCTAGGATTCAAGGAAAAGGGTTAAGTTGGAAAAATCCCAGGCGAAATAACTCCGAAATCGCGACAGTTGGTAACCCGGATCTACATTAGATTTGAGAGGTCAAGCGGAAGCAAACGACTGGAATTCCAGTCAGGTCCGCCCCCTTTCCTTACGTGGATTGGTAGCTACAGGCTTCGCTATCTGATTGGCCGAACAAACGCAGCGCGTAATTTAAAATATTGTATCGGTAACAAAGCTGCCCCTCGAGGGCGGAGTTCGGCTCTCCGGCGGCGAAAGTCCAGGTTTGGAGACCAGGTGTGAGCGAGCTGGTACCCAAGGAGGATCAAGTGGCACGTCTTCGGGTAAGTTTGCTGCTGGGCTGGAGTCCGGGTTACCAGCTCTTGCCCGCGCGGAATAGGCTTTAAGAAGGCAGAGCTGCAGCCATCTCTTTCTCTTAATGCTGCATCTTTGTTCTCACCGTGAGCCTTGGGGTGAGGTTAGAGAAGAAGCCGAGGGATCCTGACACCACCTCCACAGCACCGGCGGGCGAGGCGCCCTACTTGAGGCTTGGCCTTCTGCTTTTGGGGCCAGATTTATGTGGACTTCTGGTCGCGTTCAGAAATGCCACCCCAAGACCGGGCATGGTGGCTCAAGCCTGTAATCCCAGCACTTTTGGAGGCAGAGGCGGGCGGATCACGAGGTCAGGAGATCAAGACCATCCTGGCCAACACGGTGAAACCCAGTCCCACTAAAAACACAAAAAAATTAGCTGGGCGTGGTGGTGCACGCCTGTAGTCCCAGCTACTCGGGAGGCTGAGGCAGGAGAATTGCCACCCAGGAGGCGGAGATTGCAGTGAGCCAAGATCGCGCCACGGCGCTACAGCCTGGGCGAGAGTGTGAGACTCCCGTCTCGGAAAAAAAAAAAAAAGCCACCTCAGACTTCTCCCAATTGTTCATTAAGTGAACTTCTTTCATTCCCTTCTCTTTTGCCGATAATTGGAGGAGAAAGGAAGTAGGGAGCGGGACCTGGTGTCCTGGAGTAAAGGACTTCTCTAAAATTCGCAGCCTCTTCTGTTGCTAAAAGTTCGTCCTGCCCACGTTTTTGTCTCTTTTTAGACCTAGGCTGCCCCTGCCATCATGTCGCAAGGGATCCTTTCTCCACCAGCGGGCTTGCTGTCCGATGACGATGTCGTAGTCTCTCCCATGTTTGAATCTACAGCTGCAGATTTGGGATCTGTGGTACGCAAGAACCTTCTGTCAGACTGCTCTGTCATCTCTGCCTCCCTGGAGGACAAGCAGCAGGTAAAGGAACTGGGGAGTGGCTGGGGCAGAAAGTGATATCCTCAGGCCAATAGTTGTCCATACAGGGTAATATGAGGTCAGAGACTAAAAATCCTGAATGGCTGAGAGATCAATTCAAAATTAAGAGCATTTGGGACAAAATGGTTACAAAAAAAAAAAAAAAAAAATTAAGGGCATGAAAAAAAAAAAAAATTGAGAGTTGTGTGTCCACAAGAACTATTGTTTGCATTGCATTAGTGAAATACCCTCAAGTGCATGCTGTCAGTTAATCTCTCAGGGAACGATAATAGTTATCTCTCTTTGCCTTGAGGCCCAGCTGTGCTAAATAATTTGCACAAGGTCATATAGGCATCATGTAAGTAGAATGTACAGTTCACATTTTAATAGTATCACCACAGCTTCAATTTGTTGTAGCTTTCCTGCTAGGTCAGGGTTTCTCTGTCACAGCATTGTTGACATTTGGGGCTAGACAGTTCTTCCCGGGATCTGTCCTGTGCGTTATGTTTAGCGGCATTCCTGGCCTCTACCCACTAGATGTCAGTAGTGCCTTCCCACTCATGACAATCAAAACATGTCTTCAGGTACCTCAGGCATTGCTAAATGGCCCTTGGAGTGAAAATGACCCTGGCTGAGCAACACTGTACTAGGTCCTATGCTAAACATTACCGCACATTGTTACATTTTGTCCTCTTATGGAATTTCTCTTAGACTTATAAAGTTCCATAAGAACATGGTCCTTGATGATGTCTCTCACTATGGACTGTCAGAGCTTCTCTGTTCCTAGGCCATAGTAGGCACTCTCTAAATATCTGGGGGTTTTTTTGTTTTTGTTTTGAGATGGACTCTCGCTCTGTTGCCCAGGCTGGAGTGCAGTGGCACAACTTCCACCTTCTGGGCCCAAGCAACTCTCCCTGCCTCAGCCTCCTGAGTAGCTGGGATTACAGGCACCCACAACCAAGACCAGCTAATTTTTGTATTTTTAGTAGAGATGGGGTTTTGCTGTGTTGCCCAGGCTGGTCTCGAACGCCTGACCTCAAGTTATCTGCCCCCCTCAGCCTCCTAAATTGCTGGGATTACAGGTGTGAGGCACCGCACCTAGCCTCTAAATATCTGTTGAATGAATGATGTTGGTGCTATTATTAACCCCATTCTGCAGATTAGGAAACTGAGGCAAAGAATTTAAAGAACTCATAGTCCAAGGTCTCATAGTTACTAAGTGATGGAATTGGGACTCAAATTCAAGTGTGTCTGCCTCTGCTTTACTTTACTAGCACATACCAATTTTCATACCAGTCAACAAATTCTAACTCAGATCATTGGTGTGGCAAACCAGGTTTGCAGGATAATGATAAGACAGGGAAGGGTGACAAAGTCATAAAAATGTCTATTTGGGTTGGAATAATTGTAAAACCAAAGAGTGGCTGCATGGAGACATTTGAGGGGAAGTGGGGTAGTATTATCATGGTTCCTAGAAACTACTGTTTGTCCATTTGCTCAGAGGTAACTGCTGAAATTAATCTGTGGTTCTGGGCTGGAATTATACCACAGGTTCCATCTGAGGACAGTATGGAGAAGGTGAAAGTATACCTAAGAGTTAGGCCCTTATTACCTTCAGAGTTGGAACGACAGGAAGATCAGGTGAGTGTCTGAGAAGGGAGGATTTAAGGTGAAATGATGCAGCACAAAAGAGATTCCCAGGAATGCCTTCTGTGACAACTGTATTTTCTCTCCCCTCAGGGTTGTGTCCATATTGAGAATATGGAGACCCTTGTTCTACAAGCACCCAAGGACTCTTTTGCCCTGAAGAGCAACGAGCGGGGAATTGGCCAAGCCACCCACAGGTTCACCTTTTCCCAGGTATGGAGGGTACTGGTTTGTGAACAAAGGACCAACATGTAAGGGCAACTTTATTCCCTCTTGGGAGGGAAAGCTCCTCTGCTTGATTGGGAGTTCCCTGTATATGCACACTTACAATTTTGAGGGCCCTAGTTATATGTTAGTCACTATGTCAAATAATATATGTATATCAATTCCAACAAATTATATTATCATTATTTCCTTATTTTCCTGACAAGGATAATGTGGCGAATGTAATATTGCTGAAGCCATGTAGCTAGTCATTGGTAGAGTTAGGACCTGAGTCTAGATCCATGTATCTCCAAAGCCCACGCTTGGGGGCCATTATATTGCCCCCATTGTGTGTACAGCATCAGGCCTAGAGCATAACATTCCTTAAGTGTTTGTTGATTTGGGTGAAAGATGGACTAGCAGAGAGTGCTTAGTCCTCAGTGTTTGGGGAACAGATGGCAGCACTGCAAGAATAAGCTGCTTGAGTGGTCTCCGGAGCCAACCACTCAGGAAGAAATATATCTGTGGCTTTGCACAGGAGGCAAGTGGGAGATGAAGGATAGGCCACTAAAAATCTGGGTCTCTCTCTAGATCTTTGGGCCAGAAGTGGGACAGGCATCCTTCTTCAACCTAACTGTGAAGGAGATGGTAAAAGATGTACTCAAAGGCCAGAACTGGCTCATCTATACATATGGAGTCACTAACTCAGGGAAAACCCACACGATTCAAGGTGAGTAGCAACACTTCACAGGATTCCTGATTGGCTGGTAATGGCGTTGTTTTTACCTTTTGATACTCTGAGTTAGGGGGAGAAAGACACTTGCCTCAGCTGTCCATCTTTCATATGCCTCCAGGTACCATCAAGGATGGAGGGATTCTCCCCCGGTCTCTGGCACTGATCTTCAATAGCCTCCAAGGCCAACTTCATCCAACACCTGATCTGAAACCCTTGCTCTCCAATGAGGTAATTTGGCTAGACAGCAAGCAGATCCGACAGGAGGAAATGAAGAAGCTATCCCTACTAAATGGAGGCCTCCAAGAGGTAAAGCATTGATATCCATGGCAGTGGGGGCACGGGGTACAAATCTAGGGAACTTTTGTGCTTACCTTCTCCCTGTGCCCCTCCAGGAGGAGCTGTCCACTTCCTTGAAGAGGAGTGTTTACATTGAAAGTCGGATAGGTACCAGCACCAGCTTTGACAGTGGCATTTCTGGGCTCTCTTCCATCAGTCAGTATACCAGCAGTAGCCAGCTGGATGGTATGTATGATGACTGGGCTCTGCCAAGAAACAGCAGGAACCCACTCCCTGTTCCTAACAGCTACCCGGAGTACAGACCAGAGGTTGCAATCTGAGGTCTGCCTTCTGAGGCCCCTGCAGGCCAAAAGAGAGATGAACTGCTCTAGGCTAATGCCCTATACATTGGCTTCTTCCCCAGAAACAAGTCACCGATGGGCACAGCCAGACACTGCCCCAGTACCTGTCCCAGCAGACATTCGCTTCTCCGTCTGGATCTCGTTCTTTGAGATCTACAACGAACTGCTTTATGACCTATTAGAACCGCCTAGCCAGCAGCGCAAGAGGCAGACTTTGCGGCTATGCGAGGATCAAAATGGCAATCCCTATGTGAAAGGTATGGGAAATGGGGGAAGCTGGCATGAATGCTGGAGGGCAACTGGGGAGAGACTGGCAAAAGAGTTGGATGTTCCCTCTTATACCCTTCTCTACTTTGGCCTCAGATCTCAACTGGATTCATGTTCAAGATGCTGAGGAGGCCTGGAAGCTCCTGAAAGTGGGTCGTAAGAACCAGAGCTTTGCCAGCACCCACCTCAACCAGAACTCCAGCCGCAGGTGAGTAGATTTTAAGAATAAACTTCACTGTGTTCCAGGAAACGTTAGTGTTCTGCCTGGTCATGGAAGATGTGCAATGACTTTCTGTTTTTCATAACTTCCAGTCATAGCATCTTCTCAATCAGGATCCTACACCTTCAAGGGGAAGGAGATATAGTCCCCAAGATCAGCGAGTAAGTTTTTCCATTTTGAAATTTGGGCTTGTTGGTCATAAATGGTAGTTGGCAAAGCATGGGGGAGGTTCTTAGGGGAACTTGTTCTCCTTTTTTGGGTGCAGAGATTCTTAGTGGGCCCTCCCCTCTCCAGAATTATACAAAGGGCCAGAAGGCTCATAACACATGAGGCCCTTGTCAGATCCTGTGCATCATTCTAGGCTGTCACTCTGTGATCTGGCTGGCTCAGAGCGCTGCAAAGATCAGAAGAGTGGTGAACGGTTGAAGGAAGCAGGAAACATTAACACCTCTCTGCACACCCTGGGCCGCTGTATTGCTGCCCTTCGCCAGAACCAGCAGAACCGGTGAGGTTTTGACTATAAGCCCTAGGCTCTGCAATTTGCTAAGAGACTTCCTGGTCACCACTGGTGCTAGGCTACCCCCAAAGGCTGCTGTTCTGCTCATAGCTCTAATATCTCTGATTCTCTGCCAGCTCAAAGCAGAACTTGGTTCCCTTCCGCGACAGCAAGTTGACTCGAGTGTTCCAAGGTTTCTTCACAGGCCGAGGCCGTTCCTGCATGATTGTCAATGTGAATCCCTGTGCATCTACCTATGATGAGACTCTTCATGTGGCCAAGTTCTCAGCCATTGCTAGCCAGGTGAGAAGCTAGAGGTATGATGGGTATGCTCACTTGGAACTGGTAATTCTAAGAAAGCTCCTAGGGACTACATATAGAGTCAAGTAAGATATTTTTTTCCTCTCTAGCTTGTGCATGCCCCACCTGTGCAACCAGGATTCCCATCCCTTTACTCATTCATCAAGGAACATAGTCTTCAGTCATCCCCCCGCTTAGAGAAAGGGGCTAAGGCAGACGCAGGCCTTGATAATGACACTGAAAATGAAGCTGATGTCTCCATGTATGGCAAAGAGGTGAGAAGACAAGAAGGCTTTGGTGCAGCTGCCTAGTAGCTACACATTTTCTGTGGTGCCTTCCAGGTGGGCTTGTGCCTCTTGAGGACATGGGCATCTGATGACCTCTGACATGTGTGTCTCTCCTAGGAGCTTCTACAAGTAGTGGAAGCCATGAAGGTATTGCTTTTGAAAGAACGACAGGAAAAGTTGCAGCTGGAGATGCAGCTCCGAGATGAAATCTGCACTGAGATGGTAGAACAGATGCAACAGCGGGAGCAGTGGTGCAGGTACTAGCTGAGTGATCCCTCTGGGACACCTGGGACAGAGGGTAGGAAGTAAGGAGTTGGGTGGAGTTGTGCCTCAAGATCTGTTCCCCAAGTTCACTCCTCAGAATCTTCACTCACTTCTCTTTTCTCCTGTTTCTGACAGTGAACATTTGGACACCCAAAAGGAACTATTGGAGGAAATGTATGAAGAAAAACTAAATATCCTTAAGGAGTCACTGACAAGTTTTTACCAAGAAGAGATTCAGGTGAGTTGCCCTGAGCCAGCTCCAACTAACTGCTCAGATTTCCATCACTAGCTTGCCTGAAGTAAAAAGATTTTGTAAACTACTCCAGTAAGGGCAGGAATATATTTTCTCTGTTCCTCTTAGTGCTTTGGGTTCAATCAATGTTTGGTGAATTGATTAAGGGTTTAGTTGGCCAGGAAATCGTATTAAGTGCTAACAATAGGTTTTCAAGGGATCAGTGTCACAAGTGCTTTGTTTGTCTGTTCAGTCATCTGCCTCGGCAATATTTTTCTGGCTGTGCACAGAATTGTGCTCTCTGCTTCCCTCTTAGGAGCGAGATGAAAAGATTGAAGAGCTAGAAGCTCTCTTGCAGGAAGCCAGACAACAGTCGGTGGCCCAACAGCAATCAGGGTCTGAACTGTCCCTACGGCGGTCACAAAGGTTGGCAGCTTCTGCCTCCACCCAGCAGCTTCAGGAGGTTAAAGCTAAATTACAGCAGTTCAAAGCAGAGCTAAACTCCACCACTGAAGGTGAGGAAAGGGACAGGCAGGAAACATAACTGGTTCAGGGACGAGCTGTTACTCAAACCCAGGCCTTCCGACTCTTGCTCTAACATAATTTCCTAAACTGCAAGCTACAACCCCCTGACATTTCAATCTAGGGTGCACATAGCCTCACTTTTTATATTTGCTACAAGCTACTTTTAACTCAGTTGAAGAGATTGGGCCAAGGCTAAAAAAAAAAACCCACATATTTTATAGTTTCCCGTTTCCTTCCCTCAGAGTTGCATAAGTATCAGAAAATGTTAGAACCACCACCCTCAGCCAAGCCCTTCACCACTGATGTGGACAAGAAGTTAGAAGAGGGCCAGAAGGTAATTACCTTTCTGTTTACCAAACTCTTACCTAAGGCATTTCCCACATCCAACAGTCTATCACTGGTTCATGGGAAGACAAGATGCTGGAGGGTAGCTATTTCACTCAGCTCACTAGCCTTTCTAATTTTACTTCTCTTCAAATGGCTACCTGACCCCTGCAGATTATTATACTGGTTGCTCTTGCCCACAATCTGATTCCTACTTCCCCTTTTTCAGAATATAAGGCTACTGCGGACAGAGCTTCAGAAACTTGGTGAGTCTCTCCAATCAGCAGAGAGAGCTTGTTGCCACAGCACTGGGGCAGGAAAACTTCGTCAAGCCTTGACCACTTGTGATGACATCTTAATAAAACAGGTTAGGGCAAACTACCCACTTCTCTCCCACTAGCACACTCCAGTGTATATGTGAGAAAGGAAAGAGGACCAGAAGAAAAAGGTAAAGATTTTTAGGCTGAACTTAGAGCGACAGCAGTATATTTGCAAAATAAAAATAACTATTTTTTTGTTAAGCATTTACTAAGTACCAGGCACTATGCTAAGTAATTTATAGGCATTTTCTGTCACAACCACCTTAGGGAGGTAGTTACTGTTCTATTTCATCTAAAAAACCATTGTTTTATGCACTGCTAAGAAAAAAATTAACAATTTAGCTATGACATTTCTTATCAGTAAGATGCATCCTGATCCCAGAGATATTAAAACTGTATATCTTGGGCTGGGCGTGGTGGCTCACGCCTGTAATCCTAGCACTTTGGGAGGCTGAGGTGGGTGGATCACCTGAGGTCAGGAGTTCAAGACCAGCCTGGCCATCATGGTGAAACCCCATCTTAAAAAATAAATAAATAAATAAATAAAACTGTATATCTTAAACTAAGCTCAACATTTAATTTGATATTTAGAGACTAAGGTGCTTAGAAATTAAATTTACTCAAGCTCGTACTACCTTATGGGTTAGAAGATGTCCTATTCAGCACTGCTTATATTTTGGTCTCAGAAAATGCCCCCTTATCCATTATAAGCTCTGACGTTAAAGAGTTTTAATCTTTGAAGAAACAGTCATTAATAACTGGTAATGGGTGGTATGTATTAGCCCTGTTTCTCTAATCTACCAGACAAAAGTGTTTTCTATAACTTTATTGATCTTCCTTAGGACCAGACTCTGGCTGAATTGCAGAACAACATGGTGCTAGTCAAACTGGACCTTCGGAAGAAGGCAGCATGTATTGCTGAGCAGTATCATACAGTGCTAAAACTCCAAGGCCAGGTTTCTGCCAAAAAGCGCCTTGGTGACAATCGGGAAAACCAGCAACCAAACCAACAGCCTCCAGGGAAGAAACCGTTTCTTCGAAATTTACTTCCCCGGACACCAACCTGCCAAAGCTCAACAGACTGCAGCCCTTATGCCCGAATCCTACGCTCACGGCGCTCCCCTTTACTCAAATCCGGGCCTTTTGGCAAAAAGTACTAAGGCTGTGGGGAAAGAAGAGCAGTCATGACCCTGAGGTGGGTCGGTTGCTCTTCTGAACAAATAGGTCTCTTTTAAGCTTTACCATATATCAGTAAGGTTTTTTTCCCACTTTTGTATTATAATCACCTATGTAATCTCTCTTTTTTTTTTTTTTTTTTTTTTACTTATATGGTTTCTATGCACACACAAAAAAGTTATATTAAAGATATTATTGTTCACATTTTTTTATTGAATTCCAAATGTAGCAAAATCATTAAAACAAATTATAAAGGAGACAGAAAAATTGAGAATCAAACATCATTCTGGACCATGGGAACCTTGAAAAAGCATGGCAGTGGAGACCAGTAACTAGTATACAGCTTGCCTAAGAAGGCTTAGTAAGAAATGAATTCAAGTAGTAGATATTCTAAACCTTCCTTAATATAAGATGAAGTGTCATATTTTAGGAGGTAAAAAGGTAACACAAAATTCTGAGAATAAGAATGAAGTCTGGACCCTAAGCTCAGAATGATCCATAGCATCTACTGTACAAATTCGTTACAGCAGACATAGCATATTACCTCCTGCTGTATACACATGCACAGGCCTGAAACTCTCCAAGAGCACCACAAGAATGATTTCCTTTATCATCTAGATAAAGGCTGAAAAAATGTATTCTGTTGCAGATAGGAGGGAAAAAATATAGACAATTACATTGAAAATTCATTAAAACAGACCAGCTTGAAGTGAGTTTATTCTTGTATGGATAGTCACAAACATTATTTCCAAATGTCTGTGAAATTATCTATAATCCTACCTCCTTGCTTTGCTTTGGTAGGAGTATAGCTAACAATATAGCCATCTTTTGCCCTCAGTAAGGGCTATCAGCAGTCCCAAGCTCTGTGAGATTCTTTTTTGACCTTCTTTTATTCAACTTTAGGAAGTTACTTCCAATTTGAAAGCTTTTAGAAAACCCCTCAAAACTGTTTTGGAAGATTGTCTCCATAGAGTAAGAACAAATGGATAGCTCTATTCCACTTAAACCTAATCTCTGACATCAGAATAGGGATCCTGCTCAGCAAATCTAAGAGCAAGGTCATTTGTATCCATTGCTCTGACTTCTTCCTAGGGTACTCAGTGCCCTACTACGGCCAGCTGAGGGTAGAGTGGCAGAGTTTCCTGCTTTCTTTGCCTTTCTTCCACTCTCAGCAGCACTGACACTTCTGTAGCATTGCCTGTGCTAAAGTGCTATTAAAGGGACTTTCTTGGGGGCAAAAAGATTTTAAAAAGCATTCAGAAAAGGCCAAGATCTAAAGCCACTCTGGACAGCAGTAAGATAGAAGTACTTCTAACTGGCAAGACAATGTCTGTTCCTGCCAGTATTCTGTCAGCCAGCCTCTGAGGGTAATTACACAAGCTGTCCCTATGGAGCTATGGCCATCTATAGAAACAAGAGCTGAGGTCCTTGGAACAGACGTACTGTTTGTTACATAGAGGTAAGGCTTAATTAAGATGAGTCTAACAATATGCTGGCTCGAGAGTAACCAACTATGGCGTGACAGAAGACAAGTTGAGTGGAGAAACTCTGCGTGTGGGGGTGTTGTTAGCAGACAGTGAAGCAGGCAGGAAAAAAGGAGCAGGCACCTCGGTGGTGGAAGTCTCGCCTTGGTTCCGAAGCTGTAGGATTTGCCGGAGTAAGGCCTTACCTTCTTCCCGGGTCTGCAACAAAGTCAGGCAAATGTTTCAAAACATGTCCAGAGCTAGTCTCAAAAACAAGTTATTAAGATGCTGATATATGGCCGGGTGTGGTGACTCACTCCTGTAATCCCAGCACTTTGGGAGGCCAAGGCGGGAGGATCACCTGAGGTTGGGAGTTCAAGACCAGCCTTACAAGCATAAAGAAACTCTGTCTGTACTAAAAATACAAAATTAGCTGGGTGTGGTGGCCCATTCCTGTAATCACAGATACTCAGGAGGCTGAGGCAAGAGAATCACTTGAACCCAGGAGGCAGAGGTTGCGGTGAGCCAAGAGTACACCATTGCACTCCAGCCTGGGCAACA